AGAAGACAACGGTTTCTCAACTAGATGCCATTGGCCGCCTACTGGGGTTGAAGTCCCAGCACAACATGACTCGAGCCTGCTTCGATGCTATGATGGCAATTATTGGGGGGCTGCTTCCGGAGGGTCATCATCTGCCGAGCAGCTTGTACGAGTCAACGAGACTCCTTCAGGCACTGAAGATGCCGTATGAGCAGATACATTGTTGTCCGAAGGGGTGCGTCCTATTTAGGGAAGAACACAAGGATGCAAAGTACTGTCCAAAGTGTAAATCCTCTAGGTATGTGGAGGTAGACAAAGGTGATGGAAAGAAGGAGCAAAATGAGGACATCCCCATGAAAGTCCTAAGACACCTTCCGATCATACCGAGGCTCCAATGGCTATTCATGTCCGAGGAGTCCACGAAACAGATGACATGGCACAAGAATGGCGTTCGATACAATCCTAATAAGATGGTACATCCAACAGGTGGTGAAGCATGGAAAAGCTTTAATGGCAACCATCGTGGCAAAGATGAAGAGGCCCGTAATGTACGTGTTGCGCTGGCAACGGATGGGTTCAATCCTTACGGAATGATGTCGGCCCCATACACTTGTTGGCCCGTGTTCGCTATTCCCCTCAATCTCCCCGGGTGCCCTACTTCAACGGCAAAACATATTCTTGACGTTGATAATTCCTGGACACCCGGGAAACAAAATGGGTGTGTACATGCAGCCTGTTTATGATGAATTGATCAAGGCTTGGAATGAAGACGTATGGACTTACGACCGAGCTACAAAGAAGAACTTCAGAATGTATGTTTGGTACCAGTACTCCATGCATGACTTCCTGGCGTATGGGATATTCACCGGCTGGTGTGTCCACGGGAAGTTTCCATGTCCGGTATGCAAGGCAGCTCTACAGTTCATTTTGTTGAAGAAGGGTGGGAAGTTCTCATCGTTCGACAAGCATCGACAGTTCCTCCCTCTTGACCATGCATTCAGAGGAGACACCAAGAACTTCACGAAAGGTGTCACGGTGACCGACCCTGCACCTCAGAAGATGACTAGTGCCCAGGTTCATGCTCAGATAGATGCTCTCGTGCTCCCGGCACAGAAAGATAATCCAAAGAAGGGTAAAAGAAAGAAAGTTAATCCAGAGAAAGATAATCCAAACAAAGATCACTTTGTGGGCTATGGTGTGGAACATATGTGGACTCATAAGTCGGGATTGGAGAGACTTCCCTATTTTGATGACCTTCTCCTTCCACATAACAAAGATGTAATGCACACTGAGAAGAATGTCGCCGAAGCACTTTGGGCAACACTCATGGACATTTCTGACAAGACAAAGGACAACCCTAAGGCCAGAGTAGACATGGCAACATTATGCGACAGACCAAAGCTGCAGATGCTGCCTCCAAGAGACGGCAAACCATGGAAAAGGCTTAAGGCCGATTACGTCTTGGAAAAGAAGCACGGGACGGAAGTGATACAATGGATGCAGAAGTTAAGTTTCCCTGATGGGTTTGCAGCGAATCTGAGGAGGGGAGCGAACCCAGATACTGGCCGAGTCTTAGGGATGAAGAGTCATGACTTCCACATATGGATTGAGTGGCTTCCTCCGTCGATGGTTCGAGGCTACGTCCCTGAGCATGTCTGGAAGGTGCTGGCAGAGCTGAGCTTTTTCTTCCGCTAGCTTTGTGCCAAGAAGGTTTGCTCAGATTCGTGCAACAACTTGGGGAGCAACAAGGTTGGCAGATCCCACTACACCTGCTTGCACCACAACCACCACCACAGTCTACTCCGGTGAGTATGTTTTACTTTCTGTGCTCATGCTTAGTGTCAAACCTAGAGATGGCCTTCGTGCCGGATTTGTTGATGTGTGGGCCTTCGTGCGGGGTTAGTTGATGTGTCGGCCTTCGTGCTGGAAATGTGGTTGTCGGCCTTCGTGCCGACGTTTTTCTTGCAGGTTTTGGAAATGTCCCCGTGCAGAGGAGGTGCTGCCGAAATTTTCAACTTTTCTTTAAACTCCTTACATTTTTATCTTGTCACTCACGTGCAATATCTTCTTTTTTGTGCAGCGGACGTCGGGGGCGGCGCCGAACCAGGTCGGAGGGTCGCCGGCATCATAAGTCGAGCCATCCGCACCCGGACCGTCACCGGGATCGCACGCTGTGGCGCAGTAGCCGTGAGCCGCTTGTGGAGTAGTTTCTATGTATCGAACTTGTGAACTTGTGGACTATGAACTTGTGGTTTGTAATAAATTGTGGATTTCGGACAAATTTGGTCGTTTGTAATATATAAATGTGGTTTGTAATTTATTGTTGTTGAATTGTGGTTTCTATTATATATATATGCATTGTTGTTTAAATGGAAAAGCAAAAAACAAAAAAAAAATTAGAGGTGGCTTTGCCGAGTGCAATGACCATTGCACTCGGCAAAGAAAATTTAAAAAAATTAAAAAACACGCTTTCCGAGTGCATGGTCATTGCACTCGACAAAGAAAATTTAAAAAAAATAAAAAAACACCCTTTGCCGAGTGCCGGTGCTGTGGCACTCGGCAAAGAGGTTTAAAAAAACAGATTTCTTTGTCGAGTGCCGGAGCTATGGCACTCGGCAAAGAGTTTTTTAAAAAAAATTAGACGGCGTCGGCCGTCGGCCGACGACGTCAAATCTTTACCGAGTGCCCGCACGGCACTCGGCAAAGCTTTTGCCGAGTGCCCGAAATTTGGCACTCGGCAAAGCAGCCTTTACCGGAAGGGGATTCGACGGAGGCTCTTTGCCGAGTGTTGCACTCGGCAAAGGCTTTGCCGAGTGCAAAGCTGCCTTTGCCGAGTGCAACAGGCACTCGGCAAAGAGCCCACCTCCAGTAGTGCTGGGAGCAACTTTAGGCATGATGGACGGGCACAGATAAGTGGAGTTGCAACCCATAGTTGTTAGATTGAGTTTTTGCATATAGTAAACTGCCAGCTGATATTTTGTTGTCTTGATCAAATTAAACGTGCACCAAGATCAAACTAAAAAAACAAAGCCCTATAGAACCAAACTAGCAATTCTGTCATGTTTCAATAGATTGTTAGTGGGCAGGTTAGCAAGGTACTGTACTAGGTAATATAGCAACATCAACTTATATACTAGTTGCAGCTTGTAGCCTCCCAAATGCCAATGGAAAAAAAATCACCCATGGCAGTGTTAAGTGACAGGTTGCTTAAGCTAATGCACGATTAAGGAGACTATTGTAAACAAGCAAACAAGACACATGTGCAACTTTTCATGGTCTAAAGTTCAAATTTTTTTCACGGACGTATCTAAGCATGTTTTTTATTAAGAGAAAGAGAGTTACACAACGTAGCAACGAGAAAACCATGACAGCATAGATTATAAACCACCAAGCCAATGGTAAACAACATAAAGCAAAAACAAAGCAACTAGAAAAAAAAAGTTTCCCACTCACTATCCATGCACTGTCACGCATCCATGATCCATGTATTTCCCACCAAGTACAAACTTTTGAACTAACTGCAGCTTTTTTTCCAATATAATTACGGTGCCATCCTTAGAAGAGAGCACGCACTCTGCTGCAAATGCGACGGACCCAGCTTGGCTACTCGACGACAACAGTCCGCAGCCAGCCATGGCCACAGCGAGGGCGTTCCCCGCGCAGCACTACTGGAAACCTCAAATTTACCGAGTGTTTTTATGTTTGCCAAGTGTATTTCTTCGGATACTCGGCGAACAAGTTCTTTGCCGAGTGCTGCACTAAAAACACTCGGTAAAAAAAACGCTCGGCAAAGAGGAGGTTTGCCGAGTGTCAAAAAAACACTCGGCAGAGAGAGGGTTTGCAGAGTGTTTTCTTTTTTACACTCGGCAAAAAAATAAAATCTTTTTTTTTTGTGAAAGAACGAGAAGAAAAAAACAAAAAAACTTTGCCGAGTGCCCAAATCTAGGACACCAGGCAAAGGACGAAATCGTATTTAATTCCCTAGCGGGCGCCCCTCCCCTCCCCCTTGTTCTTCCCCCGCGGCCGCCCCCTCGGCCCCGCCCTCCCCTCCTCCCTCTCCATGCGTGGTGGCGGCGGTCCTCTCCCGAGCGCGCCGCAGTCCTCCTCTCCCCGAAGCGCCACTGCTGCCTCTCCTCTCCCGCAGCCAGCCTTCCCCCTCCCTCTTCCAGGCGTGGCGCCCTCCCTCCCTTTTCTGGCGGTGGTGCCCACCCCCCTTCCTCTCTCATCATGGCGGCGCTCCCCCTGCCTCTTCCTGCGCGGCGGCGCACCTCCCTCCCTCTCCCTGTAAGAGCGGCGGATCTACCGGCTGTGCTCCTCAACCGCCTCCACCAGATCCGGCCCCGGCACGGGCAGGCGGATCTGGCGCGCGGCCCTCCTCTCCCCTCGCGGCGGCGCCCTCCCCCCTCCCTCTTCCGGCACGGCGGCGACCTGCCCCCTCCCTCTCCCGGCGTGGCGGCGACCTGCCCCCTCCCAGCGCGGCGGCGCCCTCCCCCTCCCTTTCCCGGTGGTGGCGCCCTCCCCCCCTTCCTCTCTCGGCATGGCAGCGCTCCCCCTGCCTCTCCCTTTCCCGGCGGCGGATCTACCGGCGGCGCTCCTCCACCGCCTCCACCAGATCCGGCCCCGGCGCGGGCGGACTCGGCGACGGTGGCGCACGGGGAGGCCGGATCCGACCCCCGCGCGGGCGGACGGATCTGGCGATGGTGGCGCACGGGGAGGCTGGATCCGGCCTCGGCGTGGTGGCAGCCTGGGCGTGGTGGCGGCACGGCGTGGTGGTGGTGCGGCGTGGTGGCGGCACGGCGAGGAGAACACGGCGGCTTGGTTTTTTTTTCTGGAAAAATGTTTGTCGAGTGTTTTTTGGGCACGCCGAGTGCCCGACAAAAAACACTTGGCAAAGTGAGTTTGCCGATAGAATTTTTACCGTGTGCCCTTTGCCGAGTGAGGGTTTGCCGAGTGTTTTAGTAGCTTTGCCGTGTGCCTAGCTCCCGTTCCCCGTAGTGCAGGTGCTGCGAGGGCGGTGGTTTATGGCGTACGGCTCCTTCCTCCTCTTGTCCACCGCCGGCGCCACCTACACCTTCGCCATCTACTCCAAGGACATCAAGTCGACGCTGGGGTACACGCAGGAGCAGCTCAACACCGTCGGCTTCTTCAAGGACGTGGGCGGCAACATCGGCATCCACGCAGGCCTCATCGCCGAGCTCGCCCCGCCCTGGCTCGTCCTCGCCGTCGGTGCCGCCGTGAGCCTCGGCGGCTACCTCATGCTCTACCTCTCCGTCACAGGCCGCGCCCGCCCCGCCCCGCCGCTCTGGCTCGTCTGCCTCTACATCGCTGTCGGCGCCAACTCCCAGGCCTTCGCCAACACCGGCGCGCTCGTCACCTGCGTCAAGAACTTCCCCGAGAGCCGCGGCGTCATGCTCGGCCTCCTCAAGGGCTTCGTCGGCCTCAGCGGCGCCATCTTAACCCAGCTCTACCTCGCCTTCTACGGCTCCGGAGGCGGCGGCGGCGACAGCAGGCCCCTCATCCTCCTCGTCGGCTGGCTCCCTGACGCCGTCTACGTCGCTTTCCTCGCCACCATACGGGTCATACGCGCGCCGCGGTCTCCCGTTGCTGCACGCCGGGAGTACCGCGCCTTCTGCGCCTTCCTCTACGTGTCACTCGCGCTCGCCGACTACCTCCTGGTCGCCATCGTCCTGCAGAAGCGGTTCCAGTTCACACGGGCAGAGTACGCCGCCAGCGCCGCCGTCGTGTTCCTCATGCTGCTGCTTCCGCTCGGAATCGTCCTGCGCGAGGAGACCGCGCTGTTCAAGTCCAACATCACCAACGCGCCAGCTGAAGAGCAAGCTGCAGAAATGCCGGCTCTGCCCGCGGCGACCGCCGCCACGAAGCAGCAGCCATCACCAGCACCAGCGATGGAGGGCCAAAGGTTGCTGCTTTCGCTGGGGCCGCCGCCGCGCGGCGAGGACTACACGATCCTGCAGGCGCTGGTGAGCATGGACATGCTGCTGCTGTTCACGGCGTCGTTGTTCGGCATAGGCGGCATGCTGACGGCGATCGACAACATGGGCCAGATCGGCGAGTCGCTGGGGTACCCGCGGCGGAGCGCTGCCACCTTCGTCTCCCTCATCAGCATCTGGAACTACCTCGGCCGCGTCGCCGCAGGATTCGCATCGGAGGCCCTGCTGTCCCGGCACCGCCTCCCGCGGCCGCTCATCCTGGCCGGCGTGCTCCTGCTCAGCGTGCTGGGCCACCTGCTGATCGCGTTCGGCGTGCCCGGGTCGCTGTACGTGGCGTCGGTGGTGATCGGGTTCTGCTTGGGCGCCGCAAAGCCGCTCATCCTCGCCAGCGTGTCGGAGCTGTTCGGTCTCAGGTACTACACCACCATGTGCAACTTCTGCGGCACGGCCACCCCCCTGGGGACGTACGTCCTCAACGTCCGCGTCGCCGGCCGCATGTACGACCGGGAGGCGGCATGGCAGCAGGGCGCGGTGGCCGCGCTGGCGGGGAAGGGGGTCACGTGCACTGGCGTCCGGTGCTACAGGGAGTCTTGGTCATCACCGCGGTCACCGTGGCCGCGGCGGTGGTGACGCTGGCGCTCGCATGGAGGACTCGGGAGTTCTACGCCAAGTTCATGGCGGGAACAACTTGCAGCCGTGGTGAAGACAAGTAGGGACGAAAACGGGCTGAAAAACTCCTCTCATGTTTTCGTTTCTATATTTTTAGCGGAAACAGAATCGAGTTCAGTAAAAAACGGAACTAAAAACGGATGGGGTATACGGAAATACAGAAACAGACAAATACGGATGAGAAGAGCCAAAAAATTAAGTTAGAATAATATGATCAAATATTCTTGAGTATACATGAACAAAGTCGTAAAATAATATACACGTATAAAATTATCGGTCCAATATTCAGTAGCATGCCATGTATTAACATGTTCACATGCATAATTGGTGATTAATAGGTTTATAAGCATATCAATTTCTACATATCTCATATAGATTGAAAATGGGTGAAAAACAGAATAAATGCAGGTCAATTCCGAATGAAAACGGTATCCTACGGAAACGGGCAGAAAAACCCCTCTCCCATTTCTATAAATACGGAAACGGGATCCCACGAATACGAAAACGGGAGGAATAAAATAGAAAACGGAACGGGTCGGAACGGGATTTTTTCTGTCCGTTTTCAACCTTAAAGACAAGGTAGAAGTAGAAGTAGAACCCAAGGAATAGTTGTCAGATTTTTTTAGCATAGGAATAGTTGTAAGGTTGAACAAGTTATTATTAGAATTCTTTTTTTTGCGAACATGTCATGACACATATTTTATTTAAGAGGAAGTGCAGGTTACAAAACCACAGAGGTAGCGGTTATAGCAACCTAGACCAGCCCAAAGCAAAAGGAGAAGGAAAAGGCATTGATACGAAGGACCCTACACCTCAAAACCTAACCGACTTGACCTGCGGAAGGAAGATTACATCAACGCAACCCTTGCCAACACAGAGATGAAGCCATGGTGGCAAAGCACCCACCGAGAAGAGACGAGACTAACATTCGGCAGTACGGCGTCAAAGCTCTCACCAGAGATGATCAGGTGACGAAGCGGCAAAGTATCCACAAGTAGAGACCATCACACACTCAACAGCAAAGCATCTGCATGAGGGGGAAGCCCAAAGCAACGTTAGCGGCAAAGTATCCGCCCGAGCAGCAACGATGGCAAAGCATATGCCAAACAAGAGTGATAGCAGCAAAGTATCCGCTACGAAGAACCAAATGACTGCGCCAACACCAAGCAGGTTGGACAGACCATTGTGAAGAAGAGCTTGACGCACACGCAGGCACAACACAGTAAGGAGCAACTTCGGCGAGAGCAGCGGAAGATGGTTTTGCAGAAGTGCTCCAACGAAGCCTTCATGAAGGATATTGACATATGCAGATGCCAACAACATTGGGAGAAGCACAAGAGTAGGACTTTCGTCCCAGCGAACAGAGACTTCGATGATGCCTCCAACAAGATAGATGGCGCAGGCTGCGCCACCACCGCCAGCCCAGAGCAAAAATCGGGTAGGGTTTTCACCAGGAGACTATATGTCCACAAACACAGGCACTCAACACGACCACCCGAAGCACCCGGAGCGCCTGCACCACTGCCTCCAAGGACACAGACAACCACGACGCTGCACCATGACTGCTGCAGCCGCCACACCATGACCGCTACAGCCACCATGGAGCGAGGGGAGCCGCCCCGCTGAAAGGTCCTAATGGCTAGAGGAGGGTGAATAGCCTATAAAAATTTCTACAAAACACTAAACAAAGTGGTTAGACAATTATGAGGCGAAACGAATGTTACGCTAGCCTACTAAAATGCAAGCCACCTACCTAATTCTAGTTTCTATGATCTCTAGGTACACAAAAGCTATGTCACTACACTAAGTTAGTGAGCTCTCAATGACTAACTAAAGAGACTCACTAACCACTAGATACGACACAAGCTAGCTCTCAAAACTAATTACACTAAAGAGCTTAGCTACACTATGAATGTAAAATACACAAGTGGTTGAGATGTTTATACCACCGTGTAGTGAGGTGTGCCAATCACAAGATCAAGCCAATCAATCACAATAGAATCCCGGTGACAAGAGTTGACATAATGATTTTTACCGAGATTCACTTGCTAGCCGGTAAACTAGTCCCCGTTGCGGCGATACACTCACTTAGAGGTTCACACGCTAATTGGCATCACATGTCAAACCCTTAATAGGGTGCCGCACAACCAACATAAGATGAGGATCACACAAGCCACGAGCAATCCACTATGATACATTTTGGCTCTCCGCCGAGGAAAGGTCAAGAACCCCTCACAATCACCACGATCGGAGCCGGAGACAATCACCAACCTCCGCTTAACGATCCTCGCTGCTCCAAGCCGTCTAGGTGGCGGCAACCACCAAGAGTAACAAGTGAAAACCGCAAACACGAATACCAAGTGCCTCTAGATGCAATCACTCAAGAAATGTACTTGGATTCACTCCCAATCTCACAAAGATGATGAATCTATGATGGAGATGAGTGGGAGGGCTTTGACTAAGCTCACAAGGTTGCTATATCAATGCAAATGACTAAGAGAGTGAGCTTGAGCCAGCCAAACACCTTATATAGGCGCCCCCTCGAAATAGAGCCGTTAGGCTCTCACTGTAGCCCAACTCGGGGCGACCGGACGCGTCGGTCAGATCGACCAGACACACTAGCCCCAGCATTCGGTCACTGATCGCCGTCCACGTGTCCCCCATGTTCAACGACATTCGCATGATCTCAACGGTCAAGTGACTCAGTGCAACGCCCAAGTCACGATCGGACGCGTAGGCAAGCTGATCGGACTCACCATGACCGCGTCAGGTCGTCACGTGCCTGCGCACCAACACCCAGTGACTGGACGCACCGATGGAATGACCAGACGCTCCAATAACGGAGTCCGGTCACTTCCAAAAAACATCCAGAGCCGCATTTTCTCGATCGAACTCGTCCGGTGTACCTCTACCGGACCCAGCTCAGCGTCCAGTGCAATACCCTAGGTTACATTGCCTCGGCTTCTTTTGACCGGACTCACCACTGTCGTGTCTGGTCACATTTTGACCTAGCGTCCGGTCACTTCAACAACAGAGCCCGAGCACGCCAACTTCATCTATAATTGACCAGACGCTGCTCCCTCGAGTCCGGTCACTACATGACCTACGTCCGGTCACTGTTTCACAGTGATAATCTCCTCCTTTACTTCACCAACTTCTTCACCCTTGCTCAAATGTGCCAACCACCAAGTGTATCACCTTGTGCACGTGTGTTAGCATATTTTCACAAATATTTTTAAGGGTGTTAGCTCTCCACTAGATCTAAATGCATGTGCAATGAGTTAGAACATCTAGTGGTACTTTGATAACTGTATTTCGATACGAGTTTCACCCCTCTTAATAGTACGGCTATCGATTCTAAATGTGATCACACTCGCTAAGTGTCTCGATCACTGAACTAAAAAGCTCCTATTAAATTTCACCTTTGCCTTGGGCTTTTTGTTTTTCTGTTTCTTCTTTTTCAAGTCCAAGCACTTGGTCATCATGATCACCACACCATCATCATGATCTTCACCATTGCTCCACCACTTCGAATAGTGCTACTTATCTCATGATCACTTAGATGAACTAGGTTAGCACTTAGGGTTTCATCAATTTACCAAAACCAAACTAGAGCTTTCACCCACACTCACGATCCGGACGCTCGCACCAACCCACCGGCCACCATGCAAGGGGAACTATGCACCATGCTGAAGGGCACCGCCGACCAGCACAAAGGCCGCCACCGGTGTTAGTAGCATAAGATCTAGCATAAGAGGACCCGGGTCCACCCCACCAACCGCCCACAATCGGAAGAGGAGGGAGCCAGTGAGCGAGCCGAGTGGCACCATGGGGCACCACACTGACCAATGCCAAGGCCACTGTCGCCGTGCCACCCTCCCATAACTGAGGCAACAGGCACGGGATCTAGCCCCAGAGGACCCGAATCTGCCCCATCGGCCGCCACCCAATTGGAGGGGAGAAGGGTGGGCTGTCGCTGTGCTGACCAAGGGCAAGGCCGCTACCGCACTAGCCTCCAGATCATGGGATGGGGCACAAGATCCAGCACCAGAACTCCCGGATCTACTTTGCTGGCCGCTCAATCCACCGGAGCTGTAGGGGAAGAGGAGGGGTGGGGGGGAAGTGGAGGAGGAGGTGGGTGGTGGACTACGAATGGGAGCCTTCTTTTGGGCATTGCCGCGGGCCACCATTGCCGCTCGCCGGAGGGCGACGATGGCAGCCAGAGGGGTGGCAGGAAGGGGGCTTCGGCTGCACTGGCAGGTCACCCCCTGAGTCGCCCGTTGGGGAGCTCAAGGGGAGGCTGGAGCTATCCAGAAGGTTTTTCATCCTGTACTGTGAATCTACCACTGTACAGGAAGATATGAATCCTTACCACCAAGTTCAAATCTGTTTTTTGTTTGTTTTGTTTCACAAACGTGTGCAACACCTAACTCATGATTTAGGATTTGAGTTGAATTCTTCTGGTGGTTTCAAGCGGAAGAGCTAATGGTTTTAGGTTTCGATGGCAGTCTGGCAGTCCCAACACCAAGCTCAATAAATTTCTAAATGGTTTCATTTGGGTTTAACACAGGGCAAGAAGCTTTGCTAGTTCAAATCTCTGACTTTCGAGTTGAAAGGCGTGTTTTCGGATAGGTGGTTAGACGCTAAAACCCCACTTTGAAAGTAGGTCGTTTAGGTCAATGAGTGCATACATAAAGTTAGTAAGCATGTTCTCCTCCTAAGAGCATCTCTAAGAGACTAGGTAAATCATTTTGTAAATGTAAATATGGCTATTATTAGGAAAAAGTTGTCTTCAACCGACTCCGTAGGTGGCTCTCCAAATTTGGTAGCCCGTTATCCCTGAAATGCATGGATGATAGCCTGTGCGGCTCGCCATCCGGCCTTTTTCTGCGCCAAGCAACTCCTTCACACGTTTTGCCCCTTCTTTCGCGTGAACACGATCCTGCCACAGGCTGTCTTCA